TACACAGTATTGAACAAAGAAGTCACATGACCGGAACTGTTGTGAAACTTACAAAAGGTATCTACGCACCCCGGGGTAGTTGGTTTAGAGTAGGGTTGTTTTGTTCATTAAGATGGTATTCCTTGATTTTTCGTTTGTTTATGTTGGGTTCTTTGTTGAAAATGACTGTGTTTTTAATAGATATACTATGTTTTTTTTGAGTTGCAATGGTGAAAAACATGGGACGCTTTTTATTGTGTTCTATCAATCTGGTTTCCAATTTTCTTCCTGTTTCTCCGATGTAGAATTCTGGGCAGTTATTGCATGTTATTTTGTAAATGACGTTGGTATTGTGTGATTCTAAATATTTTTTGTTTAGTAACGATTTTAATTTACGACCGGGTTTTTATGAAAATTTGACAGGAATATTGTGTTTACTGGCTAGTTTAGTCCAAGTGTGGATAATTCTTGAGCTGGATTCAGTAACAAAAGGTAAATTGCAGTGTTTAAAGAAAGTTAGTGTGTGTTCGATAGAAGTGAAACCAGCAAAAGTGTCTCTTTGTAAATGGAAACCTTTTCTACATTGTTCTTCTGAACTATCTCCAGTTTTGAATGTTTTCTATAACATTTGGCGTATTTTCTGTTTTTAACATTATTGGTGTTTTATCTGAAGTTTTATGTATCGGAGCGTTTATTTTCGGTATGTCTTGCAAGTTTTCTATCCTGAGGGTCGATTTCTTATCTCAACTTATAATGTGAAATTCGTTTTCTTTGAACGATTTTTCAATTTCATCTAAATCTGAATTTTCTTTTACCTTAAAGCTAACTATCATTTTATTATAATTTCAATTATTTTTATACCATTTGTTGTATTATCTAGAGTAAGCTTACAAAAAAGGATACAAAAACAATTGAAATGAGAAATACTTATCGAAAACTCGAAAAACGAATCTTAGCTGTCAAAGTGTTCATAAAAGACACAAAATATGAAAATGTCCTGAATTATAGAGAAAGTTCTTAGCAGCATTGAAGACAAAAATAAAAGGTTAATTAGCTCTGTAAAAAAGGAAAATGAATACCCGCTAAAATTGAATAGTCATTCAATCGAAACGAATTTCACGTTATAAGTTGATTAGCTACATAGATAATGAAATCATTCTTGTGGATAGAAAACTTGAAAGACATATTGAAATAAAACGATACGATACGTACATTAAAAAGAAACACCAATAATGTTAAAAACAGAAAATACGCCAAATGTTATAGAAAACATTCAGAACTAGAAATAGTTGAGAAGAATAATGTAGAAAAGGCTTCCATTTCTAAATAGAACTATCATCTGTATCTTATCAGTCTTGAAATATCTAAATCAATATATATATATATATTCAGTATGTAATAATGCTCTTGTTTGAGTTTTATGAAATGTGTTGGTATAATCGTTCTTCGGATATTTCTAATAGTGGTGTAAACACCATCACAAATGCAGTTGTTGAAAATGGATTCGATAAATAGTGATCCGAAATAAACAGTAAAAGAAAGAAAAACAGGTGAAACTACAGATAATACACCAAATGATAGAATAAAAATTGAAATGAGAGATAGGTATTGAAAACTCGAAAAACGAAAATTAGCTGTGAAAGTAACCAAAAAAGACACAAAACGTGAAAATGTACCTGAATTATAAAGAAAATTTCAAATAACATTGAAAACAAAAACGAAATGATAGTTAGCTTTATAAAAAAGGAAAATGGATACCTTTCTGAAATATTGCCCTCTAAAATTGAAAAGTCATTCAATCGAAGCGAATTTCACGTTATAAGTTGAATAGCTACAGAGATAATGAAATCGATTCTTGTGGATAAAAACTTTCAAGAAATATTGAAATAAAACGATACGATACGTAAAATAAAAAGAACCACCAATAATGCTAAAAACAGAAAATACGCCAAATGTTATAGAAAAGGCTTCCATTTCTAAATAGAACTATCATCTGTATCTTATCAGCCTAAAGTATCTAAATCACGATAGTGTAAATCTAGTGTTAATATAGATCTACTTTTAAAATTGTGTTTTGTGAAATGTGTTTTTTCGAGTGTTTTGATAATTGTGTAAACACCATTACAAACGATGTTGTTGCAAATGGATTAGATAAATAGTAATCCGTAAGAAACAGTAAAAGACACAAATACAGGTAAAACGATACCTTTATGATACAAAAGCAATAGAAATAAGAAATAGGTATCGAAAACTCGAAAAACGAACCTCAGCTGTCATAGTGTTCACAAAAGACACAAAATATGAAAATGTCCTGAATTTTAAAGAAAGTTCTTAGCAGCATTGAATACAAAAATAAAAGGTTAATTAGCTCTGTAAAGAAGGAAAATGGATACCTTTCTGTAGTATTGCATGCTAAAAATGAAAAGTCATTCAATCGAATAGAATTGCTCGTTATAAGTTGATTAGCTACATAGATAATGAAATCGATTCTTGTGGATAGAAAACTTGCAAGACATATTGAAATAAAACGATACGATACGTAAAATAAAAAGGAACACCAATAATGTTAACAACAGAGAC